GAGAACACTGTGGAACGGTTTGAGGCCTCGCCCTGCTGCGTCCGGAGCGAGGTTATAGAAGTTTCAGACATTGCCTGCTCCCCTCCAGGTGCCAGCGTGCTGGACACTGGACCTGCACTGTCCCGTGGTGACCACTTGCCACATAGGGTTGAACTTAAGTGCAATTTTAAGTTCCGTTTCCATTCACCGCAACCACGTTCCAGGTGCCCACTAGCGACGCGGGGCAAGTACCACTGGACTGCAGTGCAGGTCACACAACAGTCATGTGTTGGCAGAAAGCGTTTGGGGCTTTTGTTCCTATCCTGAACAGCCTCACAGACACTGACAAGAAAGGTCAGGGAGCCCTGGCTGGTTTGGCTCAAGAGATAGACCATCCCTGCGGACGGAACGGTCCCAGGTTCGACTGGCCAAGGGCACATGCCTGGGTTGCAGGCTCGATCCCCAGTGCAGGAGGCAGCGGATCAATGATCTCTCTCATCGTGGATGTTTCTATCTATCTCTCCCTTTCCCTTCCTCTCTGAAATAAATAAAAATATATTCTAAAAAAATAATAGCTTTTAAAAAAAGGAAAGCTCGGGGAGTGGAGGAGTGGAGGCAGGTCAGCTGTGGGGAGTGGGAGCAGGGAGCAGCAAGGGGACTGAGGGTCCAGGAGACAAACCTGGAGAACCACAGGCTAAATTCTGCAGTGCATGGATGGCGGTGGGCTCCGGGTGCCGTGGGAGAGGGGCAGTGATGTTGGCTGACACTCATTAACCCTACACCCAGTTTATGGACCAATATAGTGATTTATTGCTTCAATAGCATGTTCAAAGGGAGGGGGGAAATTGACAAAAATAGTGGCTCATCTGGGGGTTGTCCTTCACCTCTTGGGTCTCACCTGTCTGGAGCCCAGGCTCAAAGCTGCGTCTCCGCCTCCTTCCCTGCCAGCCCCTGGGCCCGGTGAGAGGCTCACTGGGTCTGTGGGGGCTTTGGAGAGCGCCCCTCCACTGTCTCACTGCTCCGCTGCCCTGTGGGGGCGATCAGGCTCGTGCTCTCCAGCTGCCTGGAGACCTGCCCTTGCTCCGTTTCCTCCTGGGGCTTTGACTCTGGCATCACCTCAGGCTGTGCCTCCTCCTGGGGCTCCTGGTGGGAGATAGACTTCTTGTCAGAGCCGGGCTCGGTCGTCCGCGAGACCTCAGGGGTCCGCGAGGCCTCAGGGGTCCGAGAGTGCCCGGTAGTCTGCGAGGGCTCAGGGGTCCGCGAGTGCTGGGTAGTCATCGAGGGCTCAGGGGTCCGCGAGGGCTCCGGGACCTGTAGGGGCTCAGTGCCCAGGAGCCCCCCCCCCTCCTTGCTGAGGCCCCGGGGCCTGGGCTGCACCCACGAGTGGCTGAGGATCTCCTCGATGTGCAGCCGCCGGTGGACGTCGGGCTGCAGCATGCGGTAGATGAGGTCCTTGCACTCGTTCGTCAGGTGCTTGGAGCGCGGGAAGTTGATGCGGTGCTCCTTCTGGATGCGCAGCATCTTCTTGATGTTGGAGTCGTCGTACGGCATGGAGCCGCAGACCATGATGTAGAGGATCACGCCCAGGCTCCAGATGTCGTAGACCTTGGGCTGGTAGGGGATGCCCTGCAGGACCTCGGGGGCCGCGTAGGCCGCCGACCCGCAGAAGGTCTTGCTCAGGATCAGCAGGCCGCTCTCGTCCCGCAGGCAGCGCTTGGAGAAGCCGAAGTCAGACAGCTTGATGTTGAAGTCCTTGTCGAGGAGCAGGTTCTCGCACTTGAGGTCTCGGTGGACGATGTCCAGGTTGTGGCAGTACTTGATGGCCAAGGAGAGCTGGTGGAACTTCTTGCGAGCATCGTCTTCGCGCAGGGCTCCCCGGCTCTTGATGAAGTCGAGGAGGTCGCCCTGGACCCCGAGCTCCATGATGATGTAGACCTTGCCCTCTGACGTCTCGAAGATCTCGTAGGTCTTGACGATGGAGCGGTGGTTGAGCATGATCAGAATCTCGATTTCTCGGGGAAGGAACTTCTCCAAGAAGTCTGTGGGGGCTCTCTTGCGGTCAATGATCTTGACCGCCACGTTGAACTTCAGGCGCTCAGAATACGCGGATTTGACTTTTGCATAGGAGCCCTCTCCCAAATTGATCCCCAGGATGTAGCCTCGTCTCTTGAGGACGGCGGCATCATCCATGGTGCCAGGAGCACCCCGTGCCTCTGAAGCTGCCCTCCACCCCTGTGAGACATGGGCCAGCGGTGTCCCCGTCTACTGGAGAGTCCTCTGGGCTGGCCGGGCGGCTGCCCCTGCCTCCTGGAGGCCCCAGCTCTGGGATAGAACGTTCAGCATTGTCCAGTGACTTCAGTGGGTGAAGTCATAAAGGAAGGGTGCTCTGGGGGGGGCGGGGGGCGAGGCTCCGGCTTGAGCCACTGGGACTCGGAACCCAGAAGGCAGACCAGTGAGCTGGAGCCCACGGGAGTCGGGGCGGGGGGACAGGCGGCCTGCAGAGAGCGGTCTCACATTTGGCTGTGGGGGGAGGCTGTGGGGACACATGGTCTGTCCACGCCTCAGCCCAGAGCCGTGGTGGGCAAACTGCAGCTCGTGAGCCCCGTGCGGCTCTTTGGCCCCTTGAGTGTGGCTCTTCCTAACCCTTAGGAGGACCCTAATTAAGTTAATAATAATGTACCTACCTATATAGTTTAAGTTTAAAAAATTTGGCTCTCAGAAGAAATTTCGATCGTTGTCTTGTTGATACTTGGCTGTGTGGACCAATGAGTCTGCCGACCACGGCCCAGAGGCAGGCCTGCTTGATGGGACGGGCTGGTGGCTGTGACAGTCAGGGTCCCAGCAGGAGACAAGAACACGCTGGTTGGGGCCATCTGAGGGTCTCCTGCGGGCATCAGCATGAAGGCAGGAGCAGGGCGTAGGAAACCCGAATGGCAAGGACATTTCTGGAAGAGAGGGCGACCTTGACAAAGGCAGGGCTGTAGGCGGAGGCCACAGTGACCCCCGCAGGCAAGGAGCTGGGGTGAACATCCCTGATTGGGTTCTCCCTTCAGTCTTGGAAGCCCTCGCTGTGCCCACACAGGTGGCCTGCGGGCCCTGCAGCGGGCGGAGCCGGGTGGCAGTGGGTCAGGAAGGGCAGACTGCAGGCCCGGTCACTGCCTTTAGGAAGCCAGAGCCCTGCCTTTCCCGGCCGGTTTGGCTGGATTCCTCACCTGCTGTGCTTCTGTGACGGACCCTGCGAGGGGGACGCTGGCAGGGACTTGGTGCTGTGTGTTCCTCCTGGGGCCTGCACACCCCGGCCGTGGCTGGGTCCCGCGCGGAGTGCCAGCAGCTCCTGGGCTGCTGAGGATGGTGCGGTGGAGGGGCCAGCCTTGGACAGCCGCCCTCCGCTGTGAGCCCGGCTCTAGCACCTGCTCGGGCCGTGCCCTGAGCTGTGGTTTCACCTTGGCTGTGGCCGGCCAGCGGGCAGTGTGCACCGTACAGCGCAGGCACCACCCCTCGGTGCTCACGCGGAGCCCAAGGCAGACAGCGGCGCCTTCTGCTCCAATTCGCTTCTCCGGGCTCACCCAGCCGGGACTGGCAGGTGGCGAGTGGACACCAGGCCTTCAGCCCACCAGACAGGGAGGGGTGCCCTGTGTCCTTGCCTTGATGTGAGGGCTGCTGGGTGCAATCGGGTGGGCAGGACGGCAAGAGTGGCCAGCAGGGTCCCACTCTGCCTGCCTTCCAGGGGACTCCTCCTGTCAGAAGACGTTGGACACGCTGGCCTCTGAGTGTGGCCACCGGGAGACACTGGTTTGTCCGTGAGTCTCGTGTTCCTTCGGTTCTGGGTGTGAGGCTCTGGCTGTCCCCAGGTTTTGCAGAAGAGTGTCGGGCGGACCAGGGAGCCCCTCCCGGGCAGAGAGCGAGTGTGCCCTTCCGTGGTCAGCACTCTGGCCCCTGCGGGCAGGGCGCCCAGCTCACCCGCTTCACCGTGGGGGTGGGAGCGGTGAGCAGTGCTGGTGCTGGAGCCGATGGGACTCACCAGCTGCTTCTCGCTCGGCCTCTGGGCTTCCTCCCAGGAGGGCACCGTGAACCTGGCGGGACCACCTTGTCAGCCGTGGCCTGGGGACTGCTGCGTCCCTGCCAGCGCATGGCACTTGCCGTCCTCCCTCCCCAGTGTCTCAGCACGGAAGTCCCTGGACTACAAGAGTCTTCCCTCGAGGCCGTGAGGCTGCTCCTCCTCCTGTAGGTCAGGTGAGCGTCCCAGGAGGCTGTGGGCGGACAGCTGGCCGGGGTCGGGGCCCTAGAGTGAGTCTGCCAGGCATTTGATTGCCTTTGGTTTTGGATTCGACCTGCATCCTCTCCCCGGGAACCTCTAGGTCAGGAGTGGGAGCCCCGGGCGGTTTAAGGCTGCTCTGGCCGTGTGCTTTCGTTGCTGTTTTCCCAGCAGTTTCTTGTTTTTACAGATGAAGTGGATGCTGGCAGCTGGGTGCCCAGGGAGGTGCCGCCTTCACTGCTCCTCTCTGCAGGGAGTCGGGTTCCTGGTTCTTGGCTGGTTTTGGGTGGCTCCAGGCCTGGCTTCTGACTGGCATTCTCTGACCCAGGTTTTGGCTCTGTGTCTCCGTCTGCTTCCTGCTGGCATCTGAGTGGGAAATGGGCGTTTAATAAACAGGTTCCAAATGAGTGTCGAGTCCAGCCCGTTTCTCTGCTTTCCAAGGTGCGGCACAAAAAGGAAGGCGCGGGGCCAGGTTGAAGTGCCTCCCTGCCCTCACGGGCGCCTCTGCAAACTGGGGTGGGAGGGGCTGTTCTTGGGACAGTGACCTGAGATCCTGGGGTGGGTCCTGCCTCTGTGGGGCAGGAAGGCACCTGCAGCGTCGGTTCCACTTGGCAAGTGCTGGCTGCAGCCACTGCTGTGCACTCCCCGGCCCAAGCCCACATGGTTGGGAGTGAGGGCCGGGCTGACGGAGCTGGTTTCACATTCACTTGGTTAGTGAGGGTGGATGGGAGGGCACCTGCAGGTCCTGCACTGAGTCAGGTCGGTCAGCCACACCGAGGCCAGAGGAGGGGCCTCCTGACCAACGCGGGGAGAGAGGTGGCCTCAGACCAGCTGGAGCCAGGCCTGCAGGTGCAAAGGGCCAGCTGTGCTGCCAGCTTGGCATCTCCAGGGGAAGCATCTTGGAAGTGGTCCAGAGGTGCGGCCCTGTATGCGGATATGCATAACCCAGGGACGCAGACAGTAGGGTGGGGGGGTTGGCTGGGGGGCTAATGAGGGGAAAAGGGAGACATAGGTAGTACTTTAAACAATAAAGAATTATTAGCCCTGGCTGGTTTGGCTCAGTGGATAGTGTCGGCCTGCAGACTGAAGGGTCCTGGGTTCGATTCCGGTCGGGGGCACGTGCCCAGGTTGCGGGCTCGATCCCCAGTGGGTGGCGTGCAGAAGGCAGCCGATCAGTGATTCTCACTGTTGATGTTTCTTTCTCTCTTCCTCTTCCTCTGTGAAATCAACAAAAATTTTTTTTAAAAAAGAAAGTGGTCCAGAGGAGACAGGAGAGGAGCCCTGCTGCCCCCACCCCTGCTGGTTCCACCTGCCCTGGGAGGGCCAGACCGCCACCTGCCTCCCCAGGACAAGCCTGAGGCCGACCCGCCGGCCCAGGAAGGGAAGGCCCTGGGTGCTCTGTCACTCCCCTCGGAAATGAGGTAGTGGGTGGGGCTCCCTCCCCGAAGCTGAAGCTGCCGGGTGGAGGGCTCAGGGAGGCTCAGTCCGGAGCCGAGGCCCGGAAGCTGTCCCTGACCTGAAAATGTTGCCAAGTTGAGGTTTCGTTGTTCCTGACGTTCCATGGGGACAGCCGGTCGTCCCTTCTAAGTGTTAACACAAACCCGGGATGCTGACCCCGGGGTTTGGGAAATGAAACTGCCACAGGCCCGCCCAGGAGTCCCCAGGTTCTCCCTGGCTTCGAGTTGGAAAGGCCCGCGGGGTGCCCCAGGGGACCCCCAGGGTAGAGCCAAAGGCTCTGCTGGGCGCTCACCTGGTTTACCGGCACTGGGATAAGCACTTTTCAACCTGATTAAATTTGTCTTTGTTTTAAGGTACTTGGGGTGGAAACGTGGCACATGGGCAGGTGCCTCCGGCCCCACCCGCCCCACGGCAGGTCCCAGGCAAAGCGGGTCTTGTCCTTCACCTCCTGGCGTCTCCACACCAAGGACTGACTGTCTGGGCCCTGCCCCAAAGGCCAGGGCACGGTGTCTCCACTGTCACCACGGGGCCCTGTGCCCACCCTGCACCCACCAGGCCCGGGTCAGAGCGGACAGCCACGTGGGGTGACAGGAATCTTCCCTCTGGGCTGCAGGGGACTCCCTGGGGCGGGCCTGGGGCCTGGGCGGCCGCTGTTGGGTGAAGGGCTGCTGGGTGAGGGCAGGTGGAGATGGGGTGGGGGCTGCTGGGTGAGGGCGGGTGGAGATGGGGTGGTG